CTCACTAAAAATTCACACAAATCTAAACAATAACAAATGGGATCCAAACATTTTAAAACTTGCTTCTTGTAAAAAGGTGTTTTTTTATTTTACGTAATTGCTTATTTATTTTAGTTTAGATAAGGGGTCATCCATTTATAATTACATCATGCTATTTTTGACTGTTTTTTACCCCTCCCTCACCTCTTCACAACATTGTAACTCTTTAGTAACAAGTCCCATTGAAGTCATCACAAGACCACTAACCCCTATGCCCCCTCCCTCCTAGAGCATTATGTAATTTATACACGACCTCTAGTTAAATATATAAAATTTTGTTTATTTATATATATATATATTTTTTTTGTGGTAAAAATCTCCGTATTTTTACTTATGTTTATTTTTTTAACATTTATACTTATATAGCATAAATAAAATCTTTTAGCTTTTTCGACCAGAAGACAATAAAGAAGATGCTTTGCCATTGTTCTGCGGACCGCGTATACAAATAGGTATACATAGGTAATTAAAATATTTTTACAAATACTGTTCATACAATATAAATAAAAATATAATACAAATACTGTTCATACAATATAAATGACTTATAAAAGTACAGAATGATGTTCTTCTAATATACTTATGTATGATTTATAATATATTTTGATAAAATATATTTTTTTGCAACTTATCTAAAATATTTATAATAGGTAGGAAAAGGGATTTACAAAGAAAAATAATAATTTGTTAGTTGGAAGTTGTTGTGCATGATTAAGAGAAATCATAATCTGACATAACAATGTTCATTATAATGCTTAACACAACTTAATTTTTATTTTTTTTATTTTTTTTTTCTTAAAAAAAATAAAGAAACTTAATCATTTGTTAATCTCTTCAAATTTTCGCTATTTTTCTTTACTTGTTTTATTTTATTTTTTACTAAATTCTCTTTTTCTTTTTCTTTTCTCTGTTACATAAGCGGTTCCATCATTTGCATTGTGATTACAATAGACAAATAACTTAAGTTTATATAAAGATTATGATTTTTTTATATATATAATATAAAGGCATGATTTTTTTATAAAAACATTAATTTTATAAAAAAAATCATACATTTGTGTGTGTGTGTGTGTGTGTGTGTGTGTGTGTTTACACACACACAAATGTATGATTTTTTCCTATTCATGTTTCTATAGAGGAGAAGCTACATTTAAAAAAGATGGATCCTACTCTGGTCTTGCTGTTTTAAAAGTTGACTCAGTTGGAAATTTTGCTCAAGGTGGTCAGGTAAAAGTTATTTTAAAGTTATTTTTTAATTTTTAAAAATTTTTATTATAAAAGATATAAAATTTGATATTATAAAAAAAATTGTTACCTAAATGTGTGATGTATGTTGATTTCCAGACACTTCTTACTTCAGTTACTTGGGAGCAAGTTGACTCATCAAAACTGGACCAGTATCATAAAACAGAACCTGGTACTTTCAAACTTGATGGTTTTAGTTCTGGTTGTAAAGTAGTTGAGGTAAAAAGTTTCTTAGTTACCTTGAGTTGTTGAGTCCTTAATTTATTTTCATATTAGGTTTTAATGAGATTTGGAAAAAGGAAGAAAAAATAAAACAAAATACATATTCATACAATTAAAAACAATATAGTTATTTTGTTCCATAACCATTAAAAGTCTAAGTGAGCAAATGTAACTAGTTTTTTACTGACATTATTGTCCAAGTTTCTTTTTTCCATTTATTAAACTAAAATATAGCATGTAAAAACTATTTTTGTATATAATTATTTTTAGATTTTAGATTTTTGTAGTTTAACTATGGGTTTTGTGTAAGCAAACAGAAAACTAATTTTGAAATTTTATTTAAAGTTCAAAAAACTAATTGATTATTAATTTATAATGGTGTTTTCCTCACGGCCATCAACTGGACTTACATTCTAGGGCACAATAAGTTATATTTGTTTGTTTAGATTAGTTAAATTTACTAGATTAGTTAAACTTACTTAACTGTTTGGATTATTAATTGATTATTTGAAATATAGATAAAAACAAAGTATACAAGAAAAAAAGGACAAAAAAAAAAAGATAAAGAATAGAAGAATTATTTTTATATTTTTACTAACTTTCATTTGAAATATTTGTAGCATTTTTTATTCCATAAATGTATTTTTTTTCTAAGCTGAAATGTTAGTTTATTATTTCTGTTGTTGTAGATTTAATGGTGTAGTTGTTGATGGATTTAGTTGTTCATTTGTCTGTGATTTAGTTCTTGTATTCATTTTTTTTTTAACTATCATTATGATTTTATGCTTTTAATGTTCTTAACCTGCCATTATTATCCTTTTTTTTTTTGCTTTGTTTTTAATTTTACATCTTTTTTTAAGAATTTTTTTGTTTTTTGTTTTGTTTTTTTTCTTATTTTATTGTTGTTTTTTTGTTGTTTTTTTTTCTTTATGTCTTTTATAATTAACAAATCTGTATAAAGTGATATCATTTTCTTAAGTATTTACATAAGATTTTAGCATTACTATTCAATGGTGTACCCTCATGGTTGTCTGGTGGCACGGGTCTACTCCTTTTCTCCAAGGCCGACTTAAATTTTAAAAAAATGCCTGTCAGTAGCCCGGCAGAATAATCAGACAGTTTGTTACTTACAAAAGTGTGTTTATTAATAAAACCATATTTTGATCTATGAAGATTTTATTCTTTGTGATTATTTTTTTATTATTTCTTTGCAAAAACTTTAAAAAAGCATTTAAAGTAATATACACTTTGTTTAATAATGAATAGACTATGGTGCATTATAATTATACCCAACTTAATAAAAAGAAACCAACACGCAATTTAATATTTTAAAGTGCGACTGTTTTGTTTTTTTTTAAATGTTTTTGTTACAATTTTAAACATGTTTCTTTTTAGTGAGTCTTAGTGTAATGAAAAATGTTTAAAATATTAAAAACATAATTTTTTTAATATTTTAAACATTTTTAAACATTTAACTAAATTAAATTTGATTAAAAATGGAGAGAGAATAATAAAATATTTTTTTATTAATTTTTTGCTTCACGTTATGAACTTACCTTTGGTAAGCTTGACAAAAAGAAATGACGCAAAACAGATATCGACTACAACAACAATGAAGATCTTTAATTAATTTAATTAATTAATTTACTTTTAATTAAACTGTTTCCTATTAGATGTATTTTAGTAGTACAAGATTTACATTTTTTTTCTTCAGTTTTTCACCCAAAAAAAAATACCAAAAAAAACCTATTACACCGGACTACTGATTATCATAGCAGGCGACTCAAATGAGAAAAGAAAACTGTTTCAGTTACCCTCAGGGCGACCAAGAAAAACAGGAGGGTACACCCCTACTATTTGTAATTAAATGAGATATAACTTGAAAACATAAATGATTGATTCAAATACTTTCAATGTAATTAAATATTTTAGATACTTCCTGTCAATCTCAAAGATCGCTCTAAATTTTTTGGTTCAGTTTGTGCCCATTGTAATGGAGTCATAAAACCTAATGAACAGTTCTTTAGGGTGAGACTTTAATATCATATTTTTAGTTTTATTATCTTTTTTTATATTTAATTTTTTATACATTTGACATATATTTGTTATTATATTATTTATATTATATTACAAAATCATCTTTATCATTTTTTTTTTTTTTTGTATTTTTATTGTATTTTTTAATTTGTATTTTATTTTATATTTTGTTTACTTTTTCAATAACAAATGTAAAAATAAGTTTATTTCTTATTTTTTCTTTTGAAAGTTTTAATAACTTTTAAAAGAAAAAATAAGGAAAAAATAATTTTTGCATTTGCAAATATAAATTAAAATTTATACTTTTGAATCAGATCATGCTAATTATTTTGCTTTGTATGAAAAAATCTAAATGCATTTATATTATTTTAAACGCTATAGTGATGAAGTAGTTTTTTTTGTCAAGTGTTTCAAATTTAAATGGTTGATTAGAGTTGTAACAAATTTTATAAATGAGCAGCTTCTGTGACTGTAGTAGCTATTGTTATATAATATGTAAAACTAAAAAAAGTTAAAGTATTTGACCAATAGTGAATTGTAAAAATTGAATTGTAAAAGTTGTATTACCAATAGAAGTTGCATATTGATCTGTGTAACTTTCAAATCATTTTTAGGCCACACTTAAAAACTTTCAAAAGGCAAATATCTCCATTAAAATATGGAAAACAATGGGACAATATTTTAATTATTAAAACATCAATAAAAAAATTAAATTTAAAAAACAAAACAAAATAGTCTTTGATTTAAATAACAAGTAGAGGTTTTAAAATAAAAAATATAATTCATCTTGCCCTAGATATTTTCATATTTTGTAAATCCCATTGTTTTAAGACCACCCCCTTCCCTGCCCTCATCCCTCTTCCCTTTACATAGTAATTCTGCTTGACAATAAAGTGTTCTAGAACGAACTCTATCAGTTTAGCTATTTTTATTCAGAGAATATATAATTTTATTAAATATGCTATTTTACAAAGTTAATGAAAATGTTTACACCTTCACTGATAGAAAATTCATAAAAAGTTTTAATAAAGAGTTTTCAAATTTATTCTTTACCGTGTTTTTTTTTTTTTGTTATAGAAATTCTATTATAATTTATTTTATGTATCTTTTATCTATATTAGAATATCATCTTTATTGATTCAGCACTTATATAAGTTAAGTGATTTTATAATGTTTTTCCAATATGAACAATCTTCTTTCCCTAAGTGAGCTATTTTATGTCATTTGTAACGCATTCTTTCCATGTTTTATAATTCTTTTTTTACCTTTTCCCCTAAAGCATCTACCATACCAATACACAATTCACTGCATTCTTATGCAGGTTATTAGAAGATATAGATATATCAGATAGAAAAAAAAATTTATTTGATGAATTATTTATTAAACTGCTACTATATTTATATATAATCATATGCATCTTTATGCTTTACATGTCCCACCTTTATTTTCCTGAATGCATGAGTGCTTATTTTAATTTTCTACAGATTATCATGTTTAAGTTTAACGTATTAATTAAGACTTGATTATTAAAGCATGTAGGTTGCATTATTCAACATTCTTATACAAAGTGCAGTGTTAAAACCTTTACTAATGCTAAGCATAAAAATTTTAAGTTTAAATATTATATAAAATGTGAAATTCTAGTTTAAAAAAAAATATTTATAATAGAATATTTGATTTGTGTTTTTTTAATAGAATTTTTAAAGAAAATTTGATTTTTATTAAGGCTTTAAATTGTGTTTGGCATATGAATCACTTTCGCTGTTTTGAATGCAAAATTGATCTCGGAGGCTCTTATATTGAAATTGAAGGATCGCCATTTTGCAAGAATTGCTATTTACTGAAGAATGCTCCTAAGTGTAAAAGCTGTTCGAATCCCATCACTTCAGGTTATATTAATGCTCTTGACGGTTATTGGCATCCTGATTGTTTCTGTTGCAAGGTTGTTCTTTTAAATATTTACATTTATTTTGATTTACTTTTTTAAATCTTAAACTAATATGTATAAATTAAATTTTTATATAAGTTAATAAATTAAATCTTGAAAAACTGTATGTATGTATGTATGTATGTATGTATGTATGTATGTATGTATGTATGTATGTATGTATGTATGTATGTATGTATGTATGTATGTATGTATGTATGTATGTATGTATGTATGTATATATATATATGTATGTATGTATATATATATATATATATATATATATATATATATATATATATATATATATATGTATACATATGAGTGTATGTATATATATATATATATATATATATATATATATATATATATATATATATATATATATATATATATATATATATATATATATATATATATATATATATATATACATATATATACATATATATATATATACAACCCTCGGAATTAGGAAAATTGAGGTCGGCAATAATTTGTCCACCTCAATTTCTGATCTTTTAGAGGTCGGCATCAGGTCGGCAAATACAAAGGTCTTACCATAAAACATTGAAACGAGGTCGTCAAAACCAAATTTTATTTGCGGACCGCAAACACGTTTAGGTCTGCATTGCCGAATGCCAAACCTAATTCCAAGGGTTGTATATATATATGCATACATATGCATTCATGTATATACATATATGCATGCATGTATATACATATAATCTTCTTTAAATTGTTGTAGAGTATTTTTTTGAGATAAAATTTGAAAGGGTTTAAATTACTATTAACTATTTTATTTAGCGTTGCATGAAAAAGCCATCGGCAGATGTACAAATATATGAGTACAATGGTTTCCCATACTGTGGTGGTTGCTATGAATTAGTTGTGGAGTAAAATTAAATGGTTATCAAATTTAATTAATTTAGGTTGAAATTTATAAAATTCTTTTTTGAATATTTTAGAATTATATTTTGATAAAATTTTTAAATTGTATTTATAAATATTGCACAGATTTGTATTGTATTATGCATACCAAACGGGGGAAAAATTTTATATATTAATATTAAGTAGTTTTATGACTTTTTTAAATAATATTTAATTGAGTTTTTTTTATTTATTCATTCTATCATGTATGTAATATATTTACAATTTTATATATTATGTAATTTATATGCTGTATGTAAAGTTCTATTACCTGTATTTTTTAATGGTCGTGAATTTAAATAAATCTCTACACCTGCAATAATTTTTTTTTTTTTTGTTATTCGAGATCTCTAGCTTAAGTGTATTTTGGTTTTGTATAAAAAACCTTTGTTCTGTTTGTTTTTTTGTAATGCATATAAACTTATTTACAAAAGTTTAGACAAGCCTAAAATTTTGGTAAAATTTTTCTCAATAGATATAATTAGAAAATAATTTTAAAATTTTATTTTATAGTAATTGTATAGTAAATTATAATTAATTTGTATTTAAGATAAATACAAATTAATTATAAACAAACAATTACTTTAGATTATTAAACATATAAAAGTTAAGCAGCATAGCAAAAAGTTTTAAAAAATCAAGATAACTTCGTACTCAAATGAAGCATATTTTTATAAAAATTCCAACAATAATATAAATAATTATTTCATGTAAATAATAGTAAATAATTATTTTATTTAACATTAGTTTTTTAGATTTTATTGCATAAAAACTATAGTTTTTGTATTAAAAATAAAAAAGTGAAGTTTTATAAGTTTTGCGATAATATCTTTGAGTACAATGACCTATATTTTAATTTTTTTTTACAATATTAGGGAATTTTTAAATAGAAAATGGACTTAAGCAACCACTAATAAATATTAGACAATTGAGCTTATATTGGGCTTAAATTATTAACAAAGACTAGTACAGCACATAAAAACTTAGTTATGATTTTTTATCTAAAGAAGAGTCTATATATGTATAATATATATATATATATAATATATATATATATATATATATATATATATATATATATATATATATATATATATATACATACAGGTAGATACGTCTTTAAGACACACAAACACCTTCAAAACTACTAAGTCATAATTGATGTTTTCCACAAGCACTGTTTTTTTTAACAAAAGAAATGCTTGTAGTTTTTAAGTTGTACTAAAGTTAATGCAAACATTGAAACACCGAGTCTAAATTTCTTTTCAGAATCAGTAAGTTACATTTCAAAACAACACAAAACATTTCATTTTAATTGCCTTTAAATTTAGCATTTGGCTAAATATATATATATATATATATATATATATATATATATATATATATATATATATATATATATATATATATATATATATATATATATATAATATAAATATAAATATATATATATAAATATATATATATATATATATATATATATATATATATATATATATATATATATATATATATGTATGTATATATATATATATATATATATATATATATATATATATATATATATATATATATATATATATATATATATACTGTAAGTAAACCTGGTATGTCTTCTAGATTTAAACTTTTCTCATAACTTTCTTTCATAATCATCTGTGACTGCTCAAACATAACTTTCCAATAATTTGCCAATCCATATTGATGATGTGTTTTTGCTAATTTGGACAATGAGTTTGGAATAACTGAAGTTAACAAGACATTTGCTGATAAAGGTGTACACATTTTCTTTGGTGTACTTGGAACACGACTGCCTGAAGACTCTTGTTACTGATTTTGAGCCATACAGTTTGCAGCTTTTTGTAATTTATATTTTAAGTTTTGGTCAAACTGTTTCTGAAATATCCTTGCCACAGTCAGGCAAAGTTACTTAAATATTGATATCTCATAAAATGTTTAAAAAAAATTATAGAAATTTTATTTATAACAACAATAATATTTGTCTTGAACCTTTTTATCTATAAAATATTGAACTATTGACAATGATTAAACATGTCAAAACTTTTTGTTTCAAATTTTTTTTTAAAGTTTAGAAACATTTAAACCGCAAGTTGTACATTACAACTTAAGTTTAAAAGCAATTCCTACCTTCTGAATTTGATTTAGCTTTATTGAATGTGCACATGTGCACATTCTGGACACAAAAGAATGTTAATTGATACATTTCCTTGTATTTTGAGAACTTTGTTGTTGTGCTCTACTTCCCATCTCTGCCAAAAAAACTGACCAAGCCTATAATAAATTTTAAAAGTTGTGTTTAAAATACGGCTATATTGGAGTTATATGGAATAGTGTTAAAAAACAAGCATTTCATTAACAAATTTTTTTCATTATAATTTACTTTTTAACATTAACACTCTACTTACATTCATGTCTTTACAACATGTTGTGCATTATTTGATAGTTTGACAAATTTGCAACCACCTTGTTGCAATAGTCTCTAATTTGTAAGACATTAATAATTAGATGATTGACTTTGTTTTCTTAATATTCCCTGATAACGCCTGTTTTTATTTTTAATAAATTCAACAATAGAGTGTTCTTCCTCTGGTGTCAAAACTCGTTGATGCTGCTTTTTGATATTAGCAGTTTTTCCATCTTATCTCTGATCAATGGTCCCTCAATCTTTGATAAAAAAAACATACTAGTTTGCAAAGCAGCAAAGGCTCTTTTGTTGTGCTCTTTGCACAAAGACACATTTTGTTGAATCTGAAGTTCATATGTTTTTATTTTTTACCTCTGGACTTTTGACACTGCCTTTAAATTTGGTTTTCCAACAACAAAAGTTACTTTTCCCACTTTTATAATAAATTTTGGTTTCGCCATTGCAAAAATACTTATAATACTATTATCTACAAAATTTATAAGGTATAAAATAATTGTGTGCATAAAAACACATTAATAATACCTCTGCTAAATAAAAGTATAATATCTGAGTACCTTATATGTTATTATATATTAACAAAAAATTTTGTTAAATAAAGGTCTCCATAAATACTTAATATTAGAATTCACCATAGAAGTTGTTGTTTTTACGGGTTGTTTTTTTTTTTTGTAGTTTTTGAGGGTTTCGTTTATAATAAGTTTACAATAAAGTGTGTAAAAATAGTTTGGCCTAAAAACAAAATGTTTACAAAATTTTGAGTGAATCTGATAAATGACTCTAAAATTATTAGTAAATAATAAAACTTTACTAAAAACCATACATTGAAAAATATGGCCAGGGAAGACGTTCATATTAATATTTGTTTAAGTACAGAAAGTTTCATCACTTTAAAAGTTTCTATATTCAGTTTTAGGGTACCATTTTTTTTTTGTAGTTTTCAAGGCGTACCTGCCTGAAAAAGGCGTATCTTTTTCTGTAAAAGCTGTACTGAATGAAGTGAACAATTGCTGATCTATATACCCTATATAAGATCATATATATGTATATATATATATATATATATATATGCGTGCCATAGTTTATATATATATAGTTTATATATATATATATATGCCATAGTATATATATATATATATATATATATATATATATAT